AAGGTTGGGAATACTTTTATGAAAGCAAGGAAGGGCAGCACTGACACTGCCTATAGTAAAATATAGCATAAATTCACAGGAGTGCTGCTGATCAAGTTTTTACACTGGGCTCTTCACAAGTCTGTCAAGTTCTGAAGTTTCTGCAGGTGGGGTTTGATTTAGGTCTATGCGTAAGTATGCTATAGGCCCACATTTTAGCTATGTCTGCCTTCACCAGCATACAGTGGGACTTAATTATACTGTTCTTCAAGCTGCAATTTGAAACATCCTTAAGGGATTGTTCCTGAAGTGGAATCTCCATTGGTGTTGGACTTTTTTTGCATCAGATGGCAATTACATCAATCAGAAGAAGGTTTCGGTATTAGCGGCCTTGGGGTTTAAAGAACCCTTTCTCACGTTCATCTTGGACAGGGTGGTATTTATGCTGATCGAGATTGTGCCTAAGTGGCCTTCGGAGTCCATATTACACAAGAGGTTGTCTTACCCTACATCTCTCTTGGGTAGTGCCCAAGGAGTTAAATCATAGGATGTGGGCCAAGCTTTAAAATGTTACATCAAGGCGGCATCAGGATGTCGGAGCACCTTTTTGTCATTCACTTAATGATTTCATGGCTTCAAACAAGATTACTGCCTCTTGGTTGGTGAAGCTCATCTACTTGTTGAAGGGGTTGGCTGTGCCAGGGGAATCACAGCACACGCCACTAGAAGGGTCTTGACCTTGTGAGTGGCAGCAGGCTGAGTGTTCCCAGAGACGATCTACAAGGCAGCTACATGAGCTTCAATATATATGTTCATGGCTCATTACTGTACTAGGTCATGCTTTGCTGGGTTTTTTTTTTTTTTTGCTGTCCTCTGGATCAACTGTGGGTATATGATTATAACTTTTTTTTTTTTTTTTGTAATGGTTGAAATGGATGGACTTTTGTCTTTTTTCAGCCAGACTAGCTATGTAAAGAAACAGCCTTAATGACAGTTGAGCTTGACAGAGGCATCTTGGCTTCTACTTTTATCCAGAATGAAGGAGTGTGTGGCATTATCCCTCTCCTGTGTAGCTAGTTAGTTCCCAGCTGTGTTGACATGGAGCCGTCAAGGAAAACTGAAAATTGAATGACAGATACTTACTGTAATTTTCCTTTCCTGGGTTCCTGAGTTTTCCCTATGAGTTAGGCCCTGGAAAGGGGGGGGGGGGGGAGTGGCGGTGCGGAGCCCATAACCAGCTGTGCTGACATGGAGCTTGTCAGGAAAAAAAAATTGTGGTATCTGTTGTCATTCAATTTTCCGTTATCTGTTTGATAAATGCAAACTATGCCTGTTGATCCTGCTAGAAATGCTACTAGCTTCCTGTGATTATTGTCTGTGCGATATTATCAGTTAAATAATTCCTAGTTATCTCGGAAGACTACAAAACCCTGAACTTTTGTATTATGGAGAAGAGGAGGAAGCTTCTGTTGTCCTGTCATGCTTCTGTTGTCTCTGTTCTAGGGTGACAACTAAATTAAAATAAAATAAAAAATGCCTTGAAAATGAACTCAGTCACCACATCTAAGGACTGGTAAGCTGACAGAAAATACATTTTTTTTTTGGGGGGGGAGGTTTAAATCTTCATATTGTCCAAAACATTTCCACCTGAGATTACTTTCACTTTGTAGAAAACTCAATGTGGGGTATAAGCCTTGCCACTCACAAATCTGTTTGAGTCCACTGAGAGTACCCTGCTAGCTAATAAGAGATGCTCATTGAACAATGGTCTAATGGGTGGGTTTATGTCCTAGGTTGAAACCCAAGGAGGTAAAAGTAGGCACCCATGTCAGCGTGGAGGACATGTTCTCTGTAGGGTGAAATGGCACATTATAGAACTGAACTCTTCCTTCACAAAAAGGGGGGGGGGGGTGTTATAACCCTGGTTAGGTGTTTTTTTTTTTTTTGTTTTTTTTTTAATATAAATGTGTGTTCTATTGGGGATAATTTCTTTTTCCTGTCCCATACCCATGACAGGAACTGAGAGGAATACTCTCAAATATGAGCATGTTCTTTCTCTTTTTTTTGGTAACCGTAAACATAACAAATAGAGTGAATCTCTCTAAGGCTAGGTTCACACCTATGCAGTTTGTGTTTGATTCATTTCTGCAGTGTTTTCTTGGTTTTTGTTTTGCATTTTTGCCACGTTTTTGATGATTTTTCTTTTTTCAACTTGTTGCTGGGCAGAGCAAAACGCAAAACATGTCAAGAATGCATCAAAAGCGCAGTACATGCTTTTCTGCAGCATCTCCATTGCAGTCTATAGAACCAAAAATGCTAAGTTTTTGTGTTTAAAAAAAGTCCCTGACCCTTTCCAGAAAATGCATTGGATATAAATGCAGAGATGTGAACCTGTCCCATAGGAAAGCATGTTAAATGGACTGCTGTGCATTTCTGGAAAATGCAAAACACAGTGGGAAATGCATAGGTGTGAACCTAGACTAAGGGAACACAAACAACAATAAAAACCTCCTAAAACTATAAAAAAACTAGTTTGGGCTTTAGTTATACTTTAGTTTATATAAAGTCAGTGCTAAGGACTAGAAAAAAACTGTACCTCATGAAATGATTCATTTCCTGTAGACAGTCTATTTTACAGTGAAGGAAATAAGTATTTGATCCCCTGCTGATTTTGAGTGTTTGCCTACTCACAAAGAAATGATCAGTCTAAAAATCGAATGGTAGGTGTATTGTAACACTGAGAGACAGAATAGCAACAAAACATTCAAAAAAAATTCATGTCTAACAAATAATGCACTGATTTGCATGTTGATGAGGGAAATAAGTATTTGATCCCCTATCATTCAGCAGGATTTCTGGCTACCAGGTGTCTTTCATACAGGTAACAAGCTGAGATTAGAATCATTCTCTTAAAAGGGAGTGCTGCTAATCTCATTTTGTTACCTGTATAAAAGACACCTGTCCACAGGAGCAATCAAACAATCAGATTCTCACCTCGTGGAGTGTCAATGATCATGAGAACAGTGAGGAATCATCCCAGAACTACACGTGAGGATCTTGTCAATGATCTCCAGGCAGCTGGGACCACAGTCACCAAGAAAACAATTGGTAACACACTGCGCCGACAAGGATTGAAATCCTGCAGTGCCTGCAAGGTCTCTCTGCTCAAGAAATCACATGCCCAGGTCCATCTGAAGTTTGCCCCTAAACATCTGAATGATGCAAAGGAGGACTGGTTGAAAGTGTTGTGGTCAAATGAGACCAAAATCGAGCTCTTTGGCCTCAACTCACCATATTTGGAGGAGGAGGAATGTTGCCTATGACCCCAAGAACACCATACCAACTGTCAAACATGGTGGCGGAAACATTCTGCTTTGGGGGTGTTTTTCTGCTAAGGAGACAGGACAACTGCACCACATCAAAGGGATGATGGACGGGGCACTATACCGTCAAATCTTAGGTGAGAACACATGGCCAAGACAACAAACTAGTGGCTCAAGAAGAAGCACATTAAGGTCCTGGAGTGGCCTAGCCAGTCTCCAGACCTTAATCCGATTGAAAATTTGAGTTGCCAAACGTCAGCCACCATACCTTTTAATGACTTGGAGAGGACCTGCCAAGAGGAGTGGGCCAAAATCCCTCCTGAGATGTGTGCAAACTTGGTGGCCAACTACAGGAAATGTCTGACCTCTGTGATTGCCAACCAGGGATTTGCCACCAAGTACTAAGTCCTGTTTTGTGAAGGGGATCAAATACTTATTTCCCTCCATGAAGATCAGTGCATAATTTGTTAGACATGCATTTCTTTTGAATTTATTGTTGCTATTCTGTCTCTCAGTGTTACAATACACCTACCATTCAATTTTTAGACTTATCGTTTCTTTGTGAGTGGGCAAACATTCAAAATCTACAAGGGATCAAATACTTATTTCCTTCACTGTATGTAACTACTTGCCACCTGCCCACATTAGTTATACTGCAGACGAGTGGCACAGCCCCACTGGATCACATGCCTATACATCAGTGAGGCTCTTCTGTGTTTGCAGGCGCTCATGCACGTGCTCATTGCTGACCATGCTGTGGTTGGACACCGCACAATTTTATCAGCAGGTCCGGGCCATTGATTCATAGCTGAGACCTGCTGATCGGCTGTGTCCAACCACAGCACAGAGCTCTGAGTTTCCAAACAACACAGGGCTCTTTACACTGATCAGCCTTCTGGATGTTTCCTTTCCCTGCAAATCAGGCAGAAGAAACAGCCAGATAGAAAAGATAAAAAAAAGCACAGATTAAATACATTGCACATTATTAGGCACATATTTTACCCTGTGATTGCCCCTAGATGTTAAAATATGCCAGTGTCATTAGTACAGTGTCGGTGTACAGTATTATGATTGTCACTAACCATCCCAGTGTCTATTAATGCCAGATTGCCTACCACCCTATCAGCTGCGTATGTTTCATTATATATGCCATTTTTTGTAGACTTTCTACCTTTCACACAAACCAATTAATATACACTTATTGGGATATTTTTTTTTTTTACCCAAGACATAGCAGAATACATTTTGGCTTAAATTTATGAAAAAGTTTGATTTTTTAATTTTTTTATTGGATATGTTTTATAACAATGAAAATCTCGAAAATACTGTTTTTTTTCAAACGTTTTTCTTGGGGTTTTTTTTAGTTTTATATCGAAAAAAACAAAAAACCAGCTGTGATCAAATACCACCAAAAGAAAGCTCTAATTTAGTGTTAAAGAAAATGATAGAAAATTTAATTTGCATACATTGTTGCATGATCGCGCAATTGCCATTCAAAGTAGCACAGTGCTGAATAGCAAAAAAAAAAAATGCTCTGGTCATGAAGGTGGTAAAACCTTCCAGAGGACAACTGTTTAAGTTGTACTTGGTTTTCCCCTAGATGATGAAATACATTTTGTAATGCAAATAGGTTAACATACAATCTAATTGTATTTTTTAGATTTTCGATTGGTACAGATGAACCCCTAGAGTAAAGGAATGGCTCGGTTCATTTGTAACATGAGGACTTCCCTGGCTATTTATAAAGGACTTATATCTCTGCGTTCCATGGCGACATACCCCAGAGTAGTTCTGGGAATTGAAACAAGCTGTGATGACACCGGGGCTGCAGTTGTGGATGAACATGGAAAAATACTTGGAGAAGCCCTTCTGTCTCAGAAAGATGTTCACTTAAAGTGAGTAGTGTATTTCTGTTATGGATGTTAAACTAAATGACATATAAAGTATACCAGTGTCCTTGTTACATAGTATAACTAGGACTCATTTACATAGGCATCTAAAATGCTGAGTTTATATGCATACAGCGTATAGTTTTGTATGCATCTAAACGCAGCACTGTAGGAATCATTGGGGTCATACAGCATCTACAAACGAATATGTGCTCCCCGTTCAGTGATGCAAATAAAAAGTAGGACACAGTTGCGTCCAGGCTATACATATCTGTAGATTATACTTGTGTATACGCATAAACACATAAAGTCTGAAGAATTGTACACATCTGAATGTGAGTACTTTAGGCTCGTATTTTACACAAGATCGTCTGCTAGCTCTACCAGCAAAAACCTCTGTTCCATGCAGAAAAAATGCCTATTCCCAAATGAATGAAGCCTTATTTGCAAGCTACAATATGGTGATTTTTTTTTTTTCCTGTTATTTAGAATTAAATTAAAGTTAATTTGTCACAAACCTGAGCAGTTCAAGCTGAGCATATGATGAAGAAATGCATGTTCAGTTGTAACCTTTTACCTGTGAAAATTGCATGATAAAACAGTTAGAAATCCAGATATACTGTATAGGCAGTTGAAGTAATATGTAAATCTTCACTCTACCTGTAACAATTAAAACTTACCCTACCCCTCCCATCTCCTGACCCCTGTTGATCCCTTATGTAATGTGCAGCCATATTTATGATCTGATAGGGAGCAGAGATATGCTTGATTTTAAAAATGTATCAAGCTGTTACACACGGTTCAAACTGGCCGACATTTGAACCATGTGTACAGCTGTCCTTCCGACAGAAGCTGGTCTAAGGACTAGCTTTTGCAAAGGGACATGCTGGAAAACCAGCATCTGATCAGTTGATTAGTGTGCTCTGATGGAAGGGGGAGATTCCCATGTCAGAACACAAAGGCACAGCGAGAGAGATCGCTGTACTAACATCGCTTAGTACAGCAATCTTTCAGTTTTTACTCGTTCAGCCCAGCATTGTGTACCAGGCATTAGGCTTTACTTTGTCATGTTATCTGTACTGGATGAATCGTTCTGTAGTTTCCAGGTAAGCATTGCAGAATTATTTTTTCTCAAAAACGTCTTCCAGGACAGCCCCTTCGTAGAGCTCCTCCCTCTGGGACAGGAAATGCGTAAGCCCAGAACCTTAAAGGTGGACCTCTAGGCCTCCCTCTTCAGTATCGGTGTTTCCTCTGAAAGGATAGGTTGCACAATTTAGGAACCTGTATAGGAGCCCTAGGCTCCTGGTGGCAAGTTATCTCCTCCTTGCCCGGAGCGATCCCTCCATTGCAGAAGAGGAGTGGGGCCGCACTCCTGTTGCTTTCCAGTTCTAGGAGGAGGAGGACCACTGATGGTGTCCAGCGCCAAGAACTGTCTGACTCCACATCCTAACCACTGGGCGAATGGCCGCGACTTCCGCGAGACGGAGCAGCTGCGCTCCAAGCAGGGTTGCCCAACCAAGTTCTGGTTGCAGTGACGTCATCGGTGGGCTCCGGGAGACTCGTGGTTCCAGTCTCCATGCGCAGGCAATAGTGCTCCGCTGGCTGGTGCAGTGTGAAGAGACCTAGCAGAGGCTGTGGCTACCACACCATAGGAACAGAATGGAGGGCGCTGCTCCCCCCCCCCATCAGGCAGACCCTGGGTCTCAGGTGACGGTGGGGCACACTTCTGTTTTCTCCCCCAGTACAGTGGTGTTTGGAATGAGGAGCCCATGCTTATTATGTTCTGTATTGTGTTTCTGCTTGTTGTAGGTTAAATCCCAAGACAAGACACAGAATCAGGCCCCCAAAAAAGAAGTTAAATAGTTACATAGTTAGTCTGTCTAAAAAAAGACAAAAGTCCAGTTCAACCAAAAAAAAAAAAGTTATAATCCTATACCCACAGTTGATCCAGAGGAAGGCAAAAAAAAACAGCAAAGCATGATCCAATTTGCTCCTGCAGGGGAAAAAAACCTTCCTGATCTCCCGAGAGGCAATCGGTTGTTCCCTGAATCAACTTTACCTATAAATGTTAGTATCCAGTTATATTCTGTGTATCTAAGAAAGAATCCAGGCCTTTTTTAAAGCAATCCACTGAGCTGGCCAGAACCAACTCTTGAGGGAGTCTATTCCACATTTTCACAGCTCTTACTGTAAAGAAACCTTTCTGTATTTGGTGATTAAATTCTTTTTCTCCAGAAGTAAAGAGTGCCCCCTTGTTCTCTGTGATGACCTCAAGGTGAATAACTCTACACCGAGTTCACGGTATGAACGACTGATGTATTATTACATGTTAATTATATCCCCCCTTAATCTCCTCTTCTTAAGGGAGAATAAATTCAGTTCCTCTAATCTTTCCTCATAGCTGAGCGCTTCCATGCCTCTTATCAGTTTGGTTGCCCTTCTCTGTACTTTCTCCAGTTCCCCAATGTTCTTTTTGTGAATTGGTGCCCAAAATTAAACTGCATATTCCAGATGAGGCCTTACTAATAATTTGTACAGGGGTAGAGTGATATCTCTCCCTCTCTGGAGTCTATACCTCCTTTTTATACAAGAGGATTTTGCTCGCTTTGCATGGCATTGCATTTATTAAGCTTGTGATCTACGAGATCCTTCTCCACCATTGATTCCCCCAGTTACACTCCCCCTAGTATGTATGATACATGAATGTTCTTTGCCCCCAAGTAGATAACCTTACATTTATCAACATTAAACCTCATTTGCACATAGTTGCCCAATTAAACAGTGCATTGAGGTCAGCTTGTAAATTGAAGACATCCTGTAAGGACGTTATTCCACTGCACAGCTTGGTGTCATCTGTAAAGACTGAAATGGTATTTTTAATCCCAGACCCTATATTGTTTATAAATATATTAAAAAGTAAGGGTCCCAACACTGAACCTTGGGGTACACCACTGATGACCCTAGACCATTCAGAGTATGAATCATTAACCACTACTCTTTGAATACGATCTTTTAGCCAGTTTTCTATCCATTTATCTGCGGATTTTTCCAAGTCTGTAGACTTTACCTTACACATTAGCTATGTGTGGGGAACCGTGTCAAACGCTTTTGCAAAACCTAAGTATACTATGTCCACCACCACCCCTCTGTCCAAGGTTTTGCTCACCTCATAAAAAGAAATCAGATTTGTTTAACTTCTGTCTTTCTTGAATCCATGCTGTCTGTTGCTTAAAATATTTTTTTCCAGCAAGAACTCACCTACAGTATGTGGTCTTTTATTAAACTCTCCAGTACCTTCCCAAATATAGAAGTTAAACTAACAGGTCTATAATTACTTAGTAAAGATTTTGGCCCCTTTTTAAATATTGGCACCACATTGGCCTTATGCCAATCCAGTGGTACTATGCCTGTCATTAGAGTCCCTACAAATTTGAAACAATAGCTTTGAAATTACTGATCCCAATTCTTTAAGGACCCGTGGGTGTATGCCATCCGGTTCAGGTTCTTTAGTCACCTTTTATATTCTATCTAAATATTTCTGGATCAAATCAATTGTGAGCCAATGTGGATCATCTGGAGCTGTGTCAATACCATCCCCATTATGGACAAGAGCTCCCCTGTGCTCCTTTGTATACACAGAACTGAAGAAGGTATTTAATACATTTGCCTTCTCTGTGTCCCCAGTCACCCACTATAGATTATTTTGTAAAGGGCCTACATGCTCGGACCTGACCTTTTTACTATTAATATATTTGAAGACTTTTTTAGGGTTGATCCTGCTATCTTTTGCAGTCATTTGTTTTAAATTTTTGCGCACTTTTTCTTTTTGCATATATTCTGTTGTATTCTTTGTAATGTTTAAACAATGATAGCGTTCCTTCATTTGTTATATTTAATAAAATCTATTTTCTTATTATTTATAACCATTTTAACTTTGGCTGTAAGCCACATAGGTTTGATTTTTAGACTTTTATACTTGTTGCCCATGGGAATATATTTTGCAGTGTGTTCACATACTGTCTTTTTGAAGAACTCCCATTTCTGTGTTGTGTTCATCGATGCCAATATTCCCTCCCAGTCTTAGTCTTGGAGAGCAGCTCTCAGCCTTGGAAAATTTGCTCTCTGAAAGTTGAGCGTTGTTATTTTTCCCCGTATGTGCTTGATGTTTACAGGTAACAATAAATGAAATCATGTTATGGTCATTTCTACCACGATGTTCTTTTATATGGACATTCGTAATAATCTCTGCATGGTTTGAGATTTCCAGGTCCAGCAGAGCATCATTCCTAGTTGGGGCCTCTATAAACTGTACCATAAAATTGTCCTGTAATAGGTTTCTAAATGTCTGCCTTTAACTGTTCCTGCAGTACCATTACTTCACTCAATTTCCAGGTAGTTAAAATCTCCCATTATTATCACTGTTGCAGCCCTTTCGTTCTGTGCAAGGAGCGGAGTCTCCACCTCCTCATTAACACTGAGAGGCCTATAACAAACTCCAATGATTACCTTTGTAGTACGCACCCCCATGTGCAGTTCCACCCATATTGCTTTAGCCTCATCGCACTCTCCATCAACTAGGTCCTCTTTCACGCTTGCTCTGAGATCACTTCTCACATAGACAGACAGACAGACACCACCACCTTTCCTTTTTACCCTGACTCTCCAATAGAGAACATAGCCAGGAATATTAATGGCCCAGTCATGTAAAGATTGAAGCAAAGATTCAGCAGTACCAATTAAATTATAATTCTCTTCGTGCTCCAAAGCTTCCAACTCTCCTATTTTGCTTGGCAGACTTCTAGCATTGGTGAACAAACACTTTAATTCATTGACACCTTGTGCACAAGGTGTGCAGTTTGTGCGACGAAACAGCATTCAGCTTGGGAAAAGCCCTTGTGCCGCAATTGTGTGGATAGTCTAATTAAGGATGAGTCATTTACAACCTGCCATAGGGTTCTCACTCTCACAGGGTTCATTAAGGATGACATGACGACTACGTTTCAGTCATTTAGATTCTTGCTGGATAGGATGCAGATGCCACTGGGGCCTTGGACCCAGTCTGTGAGTACTCTGGTATCAGAGGCATTAAACCGAAGAGAGAGAAGGACCCGGAAGAGGATCCCAGGTCCCTTGCTTCCTCGCAAGCGAGGTCTGGCTCACAGGAGGACAATGGAGAAGTTTGCTCCTCCTGGGGTTTCAGGTACTATTGACCCTTGATGATGTAGATGACCTCATTAAGACTATCTGTGAAACCGTAGAGATTGAGGAGGCGGACGTATGTTCGTCAAAGCATGACCTCATGTATCAGGGTCTACATGTAAAAAAGACTAGGGTCTTTCCTGTCCATAGTTCCCTGGTTGATACCATCAAACTGGAGTAGGAAAACCCTGAAAGGAAGCTCTTTTTCTCTGGTAGTCTTAAAAGGAAATTTCCCTTTGAGGAAGACAGATCCCAGCCATGGAACAAGGTTTTAAAGTTGGAAGCCCCCTTATCTAAATTCTCTAAGAAGACAGACCTAGCTTTTGAAGATATGGGGGCTCTAAAAGATCCTATAGATAAGGAGAAACTTTTTGCTCTGGAGGGCCTGGAATTCTACCTCCCATCAGCTTCAAGCTGGCTTTATCGGCCACCTGTGCCACCATAAATCTGGAATCCTGGCTTACCCAATTACAAACGCATCTCTCTCGGCAGGGACATCCAGGTAATAAATTCTGAAATCCTTTCCTTTGCTGTTTAGAGTGGTAGATTTCCTCACTGATGCCTTGGCCAAATCCATTAAGCTAGCCACAAGAACGTCTGCCCTGGTGAATTCGGCTAGCAGGGCATTGTGGTTGAAGTACAAAAAATGGCCACTGCCCCAGTCTATAACTGACCTTCACAGCAGGGAGCACATGGAAGGGTGAAAAATTCCCAGCCAGCCTGCAAACAAACTGAATTAACCTGTCTAACAGTATGCGTTAAAAACAGGGGTTTAGTTAGCACACATTTGCAAACACATGCATAAGCTACAGATCCTCGTCACGGGTTGCCTCGGTCGAAGGGTTGTAATGCTTCCAAATCCACCATAGCTAGATGGATTAAAATGGCTATCGCAGAATTGTATAACTTGTTAGAGATTCCACCCCCATTTGTTAGTGCACATTCAACCAGATCCTTGTCAGCATCCTGGGCAGAGAGAGCTGGTGCTTCGCCAGAACAGATCTGTAAGGCGACCACTTGGTCCAGCTCTTCTACCTTTGTGAATCCTTATCGCCTGGATTTGCTTTCTAGTGAGGATCAGGCATTTGGTCGCAAAGTCCTCCAGGCAGTAGCCCCTCCTTAGTGGGTAAGTTCTTGCTTCTCATCTCAAGGGGCTGTCCTGGAAGACGTTTTTGAGAAAACCAGAGTTAGACTTACCGGTAACTCATTTTCTATAAGTCTTCTGGGATTTCCCACCCTGAGTTTTTGTACAGTAATGCATGTTTATGCATAAATGGTTATGCCTTTTAGTGCCTTCCTGTGGTTCTTGGGAATACTAAAGAGGGAGGCCTGGAGGTCCATCTTTAAGGTTCTGGGCTTACCTGTTTCCTGTCCCGGAGGGAGGAGCTCTACATCTCAAGGGGCTGTCCTGGAAGACTTATAGAAAATGAGTAACTGGTAAGTCTAACTCTGGGGGGGGGGGGGGGGGGGGTTTCTTTCAATTTTAAGAGAAGGCAACAAGATTGTGGGCATATCCATACTTACATTGGTCCAACCTGGATCAATAAACTCTACAAAAAAATGTATACCTGAAGTTTAGCTTTAAGCTTGTTTTATATATAGATGCTGTTCTGGTATTTTCTAATTACTTTTCTTTTTGTCAAACTTTTGCTTTGATTTAGGATGGGCTATTAAATGAGATGTTAGAAATAGGAGGAGTTAACAAAAGTTGCTACCCCTTAGAATTCCAGCCCATCCTCATATCTTTCTGAGTAGTAAACGGTACACATTACTCCCCCTTTTTAATATGTGATTTGCATTGAAATTACAGTAAGAACTGCTACAGTCTGCCTAGAAAAGCAGTTTACTAAATTACAATCGTCCTAATGTGCTGTACCCCCAGTCTAATGCTTTATGGGTGTATTCAGGAGTAGTAAAATCTATATACTAAATCTTCGGCAGGTGACATACATTTTTTCATTGTGTAGAAGGGTTTCTCAGCTGTCCATGTTGTCCAGTGCTTCTGCAATGGCTGGTCTCATTGCTAGTCTGCAGTGAGGCTATTCCAAAAAATGTAAACCCCAAGCCAGTGCAATGTTCTAGTTCAATGCTTTGTAAGTCACTCACCTAGGGCAAGCATAGAGATTAAGAATTCTGATACAAACTAAAACATGTATGCTGTAAATGAGTAAGTCACAAATATTGAGGCCAGGAACAGCTAGGCAGATAGCGTTTTTAAAAGGAAGCCAGCAAGGGCAGTTCTGGTTGTCAGTCATGACAGGTCTACTTTAAACTTAGAACAAACTACAAATTTCAACCAAATTTTTTTTTTTACCCACTGTCTTCCATTACAGGGCAGGTGGCATTATTCCAACAGTGGCACAACAGCTTCACAGAGACAATATCGATAGAGTTGTTAATGAAGCCATCATTTGTAGCGGAATTTCAGCAAGTAACCTTTCAGCTGTTGCCACAACAGTGAAACCTGGTCTGGCTCTGAGCCTTGGAGTTGGTCTAATTTACAGTTTAGATCTGGTGAAGCAGTATAATAAGCCTTTTATACCGATACATCATATGGAAGCTCATGCCTTGACTGTTCGGTTGTTGCATCCAGTAGAGTTCCCATTCTTGGTACTGCTGATTTCAGGAGGACATTGCCTTCTGGCTGTAGCTAATGGCATATCAGATTTTTTGCTGCTTGGACAGTCAATAGATGAAGCACCAGGTAACTCTCTGGACAAGGTACTGTATTAGAATTTCTTTTATATAAAAATGCAAGCTTATTTAAACCAAGTGTGGCACAAATGTGAAACACATGGAAACACATGAAAGTTGCATCTGTATTCCTTTTGCAGAGACTGCTTAAAGTGGTTGTGAAGGCAAAATGCATTAAGATAAAAAAAAACTTCTGCTTGCAGGCAGCCCCCTTCCCTCCCCAAATACTTACCAGAGCCTGATCTCAATCCAGCAATGTGTTCGAGAGCAGTGCTCTCTCACTCCTCACTGGACAGAAAGGCAGCAGCTGGAGCCATTGACTCCTGCTGCTGTCAATTACAACCAGTGAGGAGAGTGAGGCAGGGTTGACCCACAATGTCAATGGGCACACAAAGCCTGCTTGGGAGTGAGCACTCACGAATGCCCCCATAGTAAGTAGCTTGCTATATGAGGATACTTGTTGGGGGGGGGGGGGAGGCGAGGGCGGCCAGAATTGCCAGCAAGGTACCCGAGAAGAGGAGGATCAAGGCTGCTCTGTACAAAACTATTGCACAGAGCAGGTAAGTATAAATATGTTTGTTGTTTTTTAAAAAAATAAAAATGTTACCTTTTAGAATCACTTAAAGGTATCCACATTCATGCTGCCTGAATGCAGAATGTGTCCGTGATCCTGCACATAGTAGGCACACTATCTCATGATTGTCTGAATACCTTTATTCATTGACTTTCATAACCCTTTGGTCTGATCCTTCCTTTTTTTTTTTTCTCTATGTTTTTCATTCATTTATCCTCTCAAATTGTGTTTCAAGCCCTATACTTTTTTAATTTTGGATCATGTGGGGGGCGGATTAAAACCTTGTTTCGGTTTTAATGCTATCCAGAGCTTTAATAGAGAGACTTTTTTCCTCACTTTCTGTCTCACTGACAGCAGTTTTTCCAGACAGGAGGTGTGGGAAATCTGAAACCGGGACACAGAGAGAAATAAAATATGACAGGATGTTCCAGCCACCCCCTCCACAAAAAAAATAATTTTTATTTCTGTCTGTGTTGCTGTTTGAGAGTTCCCCTCTGTTCCTTTTTGTTCAAGTGGTTGTAAAAGCAGAAGCTTTTTTTTAACCTCAATGCATTCTCTGCATTAAGATAAAATACCCTCTGCATGCAGCCCCCAGCAACAGCTCTCTCAGCTCTTTCCCTCCTCCTCACACAGAGCCAATTCAAGTGGCTTGCTATGGGGGCACTCGGCAAGGGGAATGGGCCAGGTGCACCAGTAGGGGGACCCGAGAAGAGGAGAATCAGGACTGCTCTGTGCAAAACTATTGCGCACAAGTTTGATATGTGGCTGGGCACTGCAGCTTACTCATACATTTGAAAATGCATACGAACAAAGCCCTCTCTTTTAAACAGGGTCACTTCAGTTGCAGGCTTGCTGGTAAGTGTGCTGAGAAATATTTTGTTTGTTTGTGACATAGGTAAGTATGATACATTTGTTATTTTTAAAAAAAAATTAAATTGTACCTTTTTAGAATCACTTTTAAAATGTCATCATGACAGAAGACGGAAGTCCTTCTAATAGAGCCCTAGATCCTAGTAAAACCAAATGAGCTTCTAATCTGTTCCCACTCTATCCCCTAAGACAAAATGTTTTTGCAGGACATTTTAAATAATAAGTTACACAGTTTTGTGAACTTTGTGTTGTTTTTCTATAAACCTTTCTTACTGAACTTGGAATACCTGATTAGCTGGTTCTTGGCAGTACCATTACTGTTAATACTGTTCAGCCATTATTAGCAGAAGAAAACAGGCTAAATTTCCATATAACTACAATTTTATTTGAATTGTTTATCTTTAGACTAAAATAAAGTAAAAAATACTTACCTCTGTTCCTGTGGTCCGACGCCTGCAAGGTCCTGCACCAGAATCTCTTCCCAGCTTCTTCTGGGGGCTGGTCTTTAGCCGTCTTGATTGGCCAGTGTGGGATGACATCACTCCCGTGCATGTATAAGAGTCACTCATCCCAGAACACTTGGACTATGCTGAAAATGTAAACTGAGCTGGCTTAGTTTACATTCGGCAGGAGATTACAAACTGGCTGATAAGTTTATTTTATTGCAGAAAAGTCATTGCTCCTCTTCTGCAATAAAGAGCCTGTCTGTTAGCTTTTTTTTTTTGGATTTAGTTCTGCTTTGAAGAATAGGTTCACCTTTAGAAAAAACAATAAATGCACATAATTTTGCAGGAAAAATGTGCATTTACTATTTTTTTTCCATGGGGAACATGCAAAGCACTGCATCCACAATCAGTGGATCACAAGTGCAAAATCAGGCTCTTGCAGACACTTCTTACAGTTGCCTGTACTTGTGTGTGGGCTTTCAGTTATAGAGCTGTAAGAAGTGTCAATGGACTGTGAGTGCAGATGTCTGTGAATAAATGATGCGGCTGTGTGGGCAAAGCCTTAGACAGTCACGAAAATGTTAAATGTGACAGCGGCTGCTGGGGAGAACCCCTTCCTGCTGTCACAGGATGGTGCTCTGGGGGCAGGAAGAGGGTGCTTAGGAACATGTTACACCATAAATACGGGTGTGTGACATGTAACCTGTTCCTAAACATGAATTTAGTGTTTAAGTTTAATATCTTTTTCACCAGGACAGAGGTGCAGCTTATAACATGTCATTTATGATATGTTTTAATATGCTTCAGGTTTCCAGACGCCTTTCATTGATTAAACATCCGGAGTGCTCTTGTATGAGTGGGGGACAAGCAATAGAGCACTTGGCTCAGTTTGGGGACAAAACGTTTTGTAAACAAATTCTACCACTGTCAAAATACCAGGACTGCAACTTCTCCTTTTCTGGACTGCAAAACTACTTTAATTGTGTTATTCAGAAAATGGAGGATGTGGAAGGTAAGTGAGGACAGATTAATATTTCAGACAAATATTCAGTTTGTACATAAAAAAGTCCCTTTTTTTTCTTACATTGAAGGATTTAGAGACAAATATTGTCACAGGGTGGTCTGTGGAGCTTGCTTGTGTCATGCACATGAACGATCCACACACACATAGGAGGAAAAAGTTGTCCTCTCAGGAAATGTTGTGGGGATATGAGTATGATCTCTATTTCTAGGACATTGAGAACCAGATTGTGCAGGGATATGTCTACTAGGTTAATGGAAAAGGGCCCACTGTGGTATCTCCCTTTTTTTATTCCTTTTTTTCTTTTGTACTGTCTGCCTGACTTTATGGGTTAACTGTAGTTTTAGTACAGTTATCCTTTAAAAGTCTGCCTGCACTCCCAAGTCCTCTACTTAAAGAGTAACTCCACTTTGTTGAGAAAAAAAACATTCCCCTCTGGGTGAACAATGTACATTGCAAAGATTTTACCAACCTTTGTTACAGATTCCTACACTTTTGTTCTGAAGAAAAAGTTGTGTATCCAACTGTTTCTTTTGGACACTGGTTCTGAATGGGAAAGACTAATTGTTTTTAATCCACTGAGAAAAGTTGCAGTGTCAGTATAACCTTTAGATGCAAATTACGCATTAGGGAGTATCTCGCCAAAAATGATATTTTTGTTGTAGAGGATGCCTAAAAGCTGACTTGTATCTTACTGCAAACTTCTTTACACAAGTAGGAAATTACATTCCTGGAAGCGTTCAGTACACCAACTGTGTGCAGAATGCCTCCAGGAGCCATATTGAATTGACTTTTTGAAAATGATAGCAGCTGCAGTTTGAAAAAGGAAAGGTAATTTTTAATATCGTTAAATTACAAAATGGCTTGTGTAGAAATTGTATATGTGATATTAATTTTTTTTTCCGTGTAAGTGGAGTTACCCTTTAAGCGGGCCATACACCTTATGAATTTTGGCTCAGTGGGTGGACCTGTCATCTGCCTATTGTTCGACATCTTTCAATTGAAAAATTTACATAAGGAGCTGGGCATGAAATTGCAGCCACTATTTGGGTATTTTGACAGCCAACGGGAGAATCCTCCATCTGCACTGTAGAGCAAGGATTGAGGATTGGGCTTTTTTTTTTTTTTCTTCATTCAGCCTGCAGGCTGAGCTAAAACAAAAGCTGTGTATGGCCAAGTTTACTTATCCTTCTCCTCCAATATCTTTGCTTTTGCAGTACCCTGAAATCTGCACAGTCAAGTATACTTTTTTCCTATGGAAAGGCTGTCTTCCACTAGGAGAAATTGTAAGTTGATGGCCTTTCTATAGTAAAAAATACTCCATTCCACCCATAAGACTTATACCGATCAGCCATAACATTTAGGATCACTGACAAGTACAGTGAATAACACAAATTATCTCATTACAATGGCATCTTGAAAGTGCGTGGGATATATTAGGCAGCAAGTAAACATGTTGTCCTTGAAGTTGAGGCATTGAAAGCAGAAAAAATGGGCAAGCATAAAGATTTGAGCAACTTCGACAAGGGCCAAATTTTAATGGCTAGACCCATGCCGACCCATGTCCACAGCTAAAAGAGCCTACAGTGGGCATCAGAACTGAACTACAGAATAATGGAAAGAAGGTGGCCTTGTCTGATGAATCACATTTTCTTTTATATCATATGGATGGTAGAGAGCGTACATTGCTTGCCTACCCAAATTTTGTGGTTGACCTAGTACACCCCTTCATGGAAAAAGCATTCCCTAATGGCAGTGGCTTCTTTGAACAGAACAATGTACCCTGTCACTACAAAAATGGTGTGAGGAGTTTTAGGTATTGACTTGACCTCCATATTCTCAAGTTCGCAATCCAATTAAGAATCCATGGCATGTGCTGGAAAAAACAAATCCAATCCATGGAGGCTCCACCTTTTAAGTTAACGGGACTTTAAAAGATTGGCTACTGATGACTTGGTCGGCCATACATTATACACTTTTCATATTCAATTTCCTTTAGATGTACATTTTGCTGTGTAGTGCAAGGGCCTGCCTGATTGCATTCCAATTAAAAGAACATTTAAACTGAGTAACCTCATAACCATCTTTAACCACCTCCCACCTGCCATATAAGAAAGTGATGGGTGCAAGGTGGTTCTCTCATTCTGGGAAGACGTCATATGAAGTCTTCCAACTCGTTGGGACACAGCCGATCAACGGAAAGAGTCGATGATGTCGGCTCTGTCATGTGATCAGATGTTTCCAATCACAGCTGATCACATGTAAACAAGGAGGGGACATGTACACTGATCATCAGGGCACTTATGATCAATGTGCCCTGATGATCAGTGTAGCCCCTTCAGTGCCACCTGTCAGTGTCCATCAGTGCCACATATCAGTGCCTGCCAGTGCACATCAATGTCACATATCAGTGCCCATCTGAGCTGCCTGTCAGTGCCGCCCATCAGTACCAGTCGGTGCCGCCTATCCGTGCCAGTATGGGTGCTGCCTTTCAGTGCCCATCACTGCAGGCTTATTAGCACACATCAGTGAAGGAGAAAAATCACTGATTTACAAAATTTTATTACAGAAACATTAAAAAATTGTTTTCAAAATTTTCAGTTGTTTTTGGTTTTTTAGCAAAAAAATGAAAAACCCAGAGGTGCAGAGGTGATTAAATACCACCAAAAGAAAGCTCTGTCTATAAAAATTTCATATGGGTACAGTGTTTCATGACCATGCAATTGTCATTCAAAGTGCGACAGCACTGAAAGCTGAAAATTGGCCTGGGTAGGAAGGGGGTATAAGTGCCTTGTAGGCAAGGAGTTAAAGGCTAAATTCACCTTTTGCAAAAAAAAATAATAAATGCCTATCTATTTAGCAGGTATAAATAGTGCATTTATTATTTCTGCATTTTGTAAAGCATTACAACTGCGATCAGCATACCTATGCCTGTCGGACCTACATATGCATTCGCATTTGTGTGTGATTACGGGGGGGACTGGGGTGCTTTAACCACTTCAATACAGAGCTCTTTTACCCTCTTCCTGCCCAGACCAATTTTCAGCTTTCGGTGCTCTCGCACTTTGAATGACAATTACTCAGTCATGCTACACTGTACCTCAGCAAAACTTTATAGCATTTTTTTTTTTCACAGAGATAGAGCTTTATTTTGTTGGTACTCCAGTCACCAGTGGGTTTTTCTTTTTTTTTTTTGCGAAACAAGCGAAAATTAAAAAAAAAAAAAAAAAAAACCCACTTTTTTTACCGTAAACGTCTCTTATCCCTTCACTTCATGGCCAACACTTCCTCGTTTCTCAGACTTGCGGATTCCCCCCTTTGTAGCCTTGTGGTTACTAATCTTTGTGGGAAGCCCTTTCTATTTTTTCAGGTGGTACTGCAGGCTAAGGTTTTCTCATGGTACAGATGCTGAAAAAGGGTCAGACTGGTACAATAGTTTTCAAGGTAGATATGATAACCTTTTTTGCCACTTGTGCTGATGGGGCTGGAGCTGGGAGTCTTTGCCTTTGTACACGCGGAATGCATGCACAAATCCTGTTGTTCTTCGCAGAGCTTGTTCCGCTTCAATCCATACCTGGCCCTTTTACTGGGAATGTATTGCTTGAATCCCAGATGGCCAGTGACGTGGACAAGGGATTCATCAACACAAATTTGTTTCTTAGGGACATAAAGTTCTGCAAATCTCTTACTAAAAGAATTTATTAAGGGGCGGATTTTGTATATCTCGTCATAGTTGGGCTGATCTCAGGGAGGGCACTGTGAGTTGTTATTGAAATGCAGGAATTGCATGATCAGATCATAGCATGACCGGGACATTACAGCAGAATAGATGGGCATATGATGGATGGGGTTGGTGGACCAGTAGGCATGCAATTCTTCTTTTTTTTTTTTTTTTTTTTTTTTTTTTTTTTGTAGGCCCAAAAACATTTTTAACTTCTCCACTGTGAAACGTCTCCATAGAAAAGGACGGGCATAGGATGTACTGGGATTGTTCTCAATATACTACTGAGCAAAAAGGTTTGTCTGTTCCACAATGTATTACAATAAATTGGCAGGGTAAAACAAATAAAAAAATAAAAATCCAATTCAGAAAAATTTTCAGCATTGGTCTGCACACCTGGCTGTGCGGTGAAAGGGGGGATTGAAGCTGATCCTGGGCTGGAAGGCAGCCATAAAGGGTTTGCCAGGGCATCAGGAAGTTATGTTTGGGCCCTAATTCTTGGGGTCTGGTGGAATGCTCCAGTGCTGGTACTGGGCCTTTCATCCTGGGGTCTAGCTCCATTGGTGTCTGCTGATTGACCATTGGGGTGTATGGCGCTGCTCGTCTTTGCCTGCTCTTCAGAGTGCCATATCCTTTTAGGAGGGACTGCTTCCTCCTCCAATTCGGTCACCGACCCACTACTTTCTACTGGCTCATATTCCATATCGGAAACGGCTGGTGAGAGCTCCCCTCTGCTCCCATCCGACATGCTCAGGATTTTGAGCGCCTCCTTACTAGTAAAATATTTTTTGGACATCGCAGCTCTGGTGATTGTGGCTGTATGAAGGTTAAACTACTGATGGCTGGCTGTGATGGGTACACTGCTGATAGGCGGCAGTTGTGATGAGTACATTGATTGGGGTGCACTGCTGGCTATAGTGACAGGTACACCAATGGGCTGCACTGATGAATGCACTTACAGGTATACTGGATGCACTGATGGGTACACTGACAAGTATATTGGTGGGGATGCCCGGACAGATGCACTGATGCGGCCCGGACAGATGCACTGATGCGGCCCGGACAGATGCACTGATGCGGCCCGGACAGATGCACTGATGCGGCCCGGACAGATGCACTGATGCGGCCCCGCTGACAGATGCACTGATGCGGCCCCGCTGACAGATGCACTGATGCGGCCCCGCTGACAGATGCACTGATGCGGCCCCGCTGACAGATGCACTGATGCGGCCCCGCTGACAGATGCACTGATGCGGCCCCGCTGACAGAT